AAAAAAAGTTTAAAAAATATTTATTACAAAAAATCGTTATATATTTTAATTATTTTTGATTTATTTGAATTTAATCATAGTTATTGTTATATTTGTTATTTTTATGTTTTATTTTTTCGTTGTTTATATATTTTAAAATGTTAAAAAAATTATAAAAATTTGAAAAGTAAAAAAAAATCGTTATGTATTTTATTTATATTTTATTTTAATTCTTTTAATTTATATTATTATAAATGTATATATATTTTGTTATTTATTTTTTCAACATTTTAATATGTACGAAAAAATTTTAAAGTTCAAAAATAAAAAAATCTGAATATGATTAAAAAATAAAAAAATTGTCTGTGTGAAACTTTTTTGTTTTTGTCTTGGTTTTAAGAACATTTATTGATGATTTATTATTGTAATTATTAAAACAATAAATCACCTTCTATAGGAAAACAGAATTTTTCTTTAAAATAAATAAACATATATTTGTAGTTTGCATTAAAAGTTAAATATGATACGGAACAACACATTAAAACATTTAAGATTTCTTTCAATTATTTTCATTAAATGATAATATTATGAAATCAAAAACTATAAAAAATTGAACAGAAAAAAGTATTTTTCACTTATTTTCAGTGTTCATAAACTATTGTAACGTAAAATTAATTGAAATAAATTTATACAAATAAAAGTTACTCAACCTCAAAGTAAATTCATTTAAAATTCGTTTAAAGTGTTCAACTATAGTTTCATATTATCATCACCTGTTTTAATATTTTATCAAATACTACTAATTTCGAGTTTCATTTAACATTATCAATTACAAAAGTCATTTTCTTGTCGAACTTGCATTCATTATTAATGTAGTATCTTTCAACTTTAACATTTTTATATAAAGGAATAAAATAAGAATAAAACAATACTTAGGAATGAAAGATGAAAGGTAAATTCAAAATTAAGTAAATTATCACAATTTTTACATAACAAAGTTATAAATTCATTTTATAATAACTAATTTCGTTTGTAATAAATTTAGAATAAAAATATCAAATGAAATAAATACTTTACAGTCTAATCAAAAGTTAAACTAAATTATCATTGAAAACAACTATTTTGATTTAAATAGCAAACTTAACAATTCACAATAACTTGGGTGAATGATATGATTAATCAATAAGCCAACTATACATAGATATGCACAGGTAACACAGAGAACAAAAGTGACAGCAGTGTTTTAAAATAATTATAGAAGTATAAACAAATTTTTAGTTAGTATAGGAGATTGACAAGTAGCCTAACTTCAGTAAAAGTATTTGACAATTTTGCAAAATATAAAGTAAAACGTGAGAATTTTTTATCAATCAGGCCGGACGGTTAAAACTATATATTACGATCTTTCCCTTCTATCCATAACTACTTTTTTACGATATCTTTACGAGAGATGAAAATTTAATTTGTTACGAATAAATAAATATTACAGTATATTGTTTTATGCAAAATACTTACAGGAAATGTTTATTATCTAAATTATAGTGTCATCTGCTCAAGAATACGAGAATAACGTTATTAGTACAGTCATCCTAATTTCTTCACTTACATAGAAAAAATTTCTTGAAAAAAATTGTAATTTTTTCAAGGACATTTTACGAAAAAGAAGCGAATGCTCTATACGAAAATAGACCATCAGTATAGTGGAGCTCATTATAGCGGAGTATTATTAACTATTATAACAAATCCCATTGTTTTAAATTTTGTGATTATAATTTAGAAAAAGAAGAATGGCTGAATAAATTGATAATTAATCATACTAATGTAGAGATACCACGTGATTATTTAAGACAGTTGACCTGGTTACACAATATGAATCTCCTAGTGTATTCCAAATCCTTCCTGTTAGCAGCTGAAATTGAAAATGTAATACGAAAACTACCAGAAATAATAAATAAAAACCGATGTTAAAAACTAATATAAGTGTAATGATGACCAGATGATA